GCATACGCTTGACACTCTTTTGTGTGTATAAATATAAAACTTCTATTTTTGCTTAAAATATGAACTTCCAGGGCTGGAGAGATGGCTCAGTGGTTAAAAGCACTGACTGCTCTTTCAGAGGACCCGGGTTCGAGTCCCAGCACCCATATGATGGCTATGAACTGTCCTAACTCCAGTTCCAGGGGAATCTGAAGCCCTCTTCTGACCTCCACGGCATTGCACGACACGGGTGCACTCACATACATGCAGGCAATACACTTGTACACATAAAATAAAAATAAAATATTTTTTTTTAAAATGAACTTCCTATCAATTGTCAAAGGATGGTCACAATCAAGAATCCCATCCTTTAAAATGACCCATTTAGAAGAGACTTGCTTTTGCTGCTGTATATTTGTATACATCCTGAACCAGGCAGAATGTGCATTATAAACACTTAGGTGTCAAGCAGGGTGCTATGGCATATACCCATGATGTTGAAGAAGGAAGATTGGGACTTCCTGGCTAACTTGAGTTACATAGTGAGTTCAAGGTCACCCTGGGCTATATAGGGAACCCCTACTGTCTCAAAATAAAATATAAACACACACACACACACACACACACACACACACAACTTCCTTAGGTTTCAATCACAAATTGCCTCAGACACCTTTATATCATTCTGGGTCTGAGCTTACAGATTAAGTACAACAAGAAATAATGCATGTGAAGATGCTTTGTAAAGTGTTACATAAAACACCATTACTTGAACTTCGAATGAGTTATGTCAGTTAGGACATAGCTTCAGTCACATATGATGAACATGCTGGTAAAATAGATCAAAGCTAGAAGCTGGCAGAGCAATGACCGAAGCCCATAATAGCTGCTATATAAACCACACACTTTAAAAAATATTTATTTTTATTTTGTGTATGAGTGTATTGCCTACATGTATGTGAGTACACCCATAAACCACACATTTTTAATGACCCCATTAGACTTTCCTCTGATACCCTCACACAGCATACTGTTGCCTTTATGTCCAGTCTCTTTAAAAATAAGTGTTCTTGAACATCAGTTATTCTTCAAAATTTCTCAGAGAAATGTTTCTTTGGCAGGCCTAGATCAGAAAGTTCTACCTCCAACCTACAAATTGAGCTGATAGAGGGCAGCAGAGAAGAGGTGTCAAAGGGTATCCAGGCAACTGGAAACACTGACTAGACAGAGTTCTTCTTCTGGGGTTGGTCCAGCCAGGCCTCAAAGCAGCTCAGATTCCCACTTGTTCTAGTTTTGTTTCTGTTGCAGTATTACTGTAGTTATACCCAACTTAGGGAGGAAAGGGTTTATTTCAGCTTACAAGTTACAGTCCATCATTGAGGGAAACAAGGCAGGAACTTGAAGAACCCGAAGGCAGGTACTGAAGCAGAGACCATGGAGGAATGCTGCTTTCTGGCTTGCTCAGTTACCCTCCTTATACAGCCCAGGCCCACCTACCCAGGGAAGGCACCGCTTACAGTGTGCTGGGCCTGTCTGTATCAGTTACCAATTAAGAAAATGCTTCATTCCGGGCGTGGTGGCGCATACCTTTAATCCCAGCATTTGGGAGGCAGAGGCTGGCGGATCTCTGAGAGTTCAAGCCAGCCTGGTCTACATAGTGAGTTCCAAGCCAGCTGGGACTATAGGGAGACCTTGTCTCAAAAAAGACAGAGAGAGAGAGAGAGAGAGAGAGAGAGAGAGAGAGGAGAGAGAGAGAGAGAGAGAGAGAGAGAGAGAGAGAGAGAGAATGCTTCACAAACAGGGCCATACAGACCAGTCTGATGGAGATAATTCCTCAAGTGCGGTTCCTTCTTCCTAGGACTCTCAGTTTATGTCAAGTTGACAAAAACTAAGCAGTAAAGTAGAATAAAGTAGTACACCACCTAAGAGGAAACCTTCCTTAGCCTGGAAACCCTGAGAGGGAGTTCTGGGAGGACAAAGATCAGGCCTCTGTTCCTGTTACCAAGGGCAATAGAAAAAGTCAAAGCCATCTAGCTAACATAGACACCATATAAAGAACAACATTACTCCATACTCTTCTAGCAAATCCCTTGCTAAGAGCTATAAAGAATTCCAAGACCACTACAATGTAAAATCTTTAAGTCTGCCAAGAAGTATACCTTGGCCCAGTGTCTCCTATGTGATCAGGCCTGCATGTGCTTAGGGCTTACTGGAAATCCTTCAGCAGGTTAAAGTGTGTAGTAAAGGTAACAGGTAAGGCTTAGAAATCAATACATGCTAGATTTTGTGTTACAGAACACAAATGCAATATGTGAAGAAAAATGAAAAAGGTGAAAAGACATCGAAAAAAGGCTGCAAACAGTTTAAAAGGGTCAGTTAGGGTTGGATACACTGCAATATATTTAAATTTCTTATGTATTTATTTTTATTTCTTTATTTTATTTGTATGAATGTTTTGCCTGCATGTAGGTAAGCGCACCTATGTGTGCAGTGCCCATGGAGGCCAAAGGCAGCATGGGATCCCCTGGAACTGGAGTTATAGACAGACGGTTGTCAACTGCCATGTGGGTGCTGCGGACTGAACCTGGGTCCTCTGCAAGAGCAGCCAGTGATCTTAATCACTGAGCCATCTCTCCAGCCCCTGTAATATATTTTAAATAAAACAGGAAATCCTTATTAGAATCTCTTTTAGTACATATAAGCTCAATCTTCATACCTGCAAAGTGAAAAAGGAAGAAAAGCGAGTATCCCTGTAAGTTTAAAAGACAAACTAAAAACATTGGCATCAAATATATTTCCTGTTAGTCTACATGTCTCCATCCATTCATTTCTTTAGCAAACAGT